AGAGAGAGAGAGAGAGAGAGAGAGAGAGAGAGAGAGAGAGAGAGAGAGAGATTCTGTATCCCTTTGCTGCTCCTGCTTTGTACAGGAAATGTATTGTCTTTGTGATACAGAGTGTGAAAGTAGCAAGTCTGGCCTTTATAATGCCAGGTTGTTACAATGTACTAATAACTGCTTACATTGTTGCATATTAAGGTAATGAGGAAAATAAAAACAAACAAATTTTAATTTCTTAAGGTACACGTTCAGTTTTCTTTTCAAGCAGTGAACAGACAGCAAGGTACACTTATTCAGGAATAATAATAAAAACAAGCTCAAAGGTTTAGATAATCTTCTTGGAAAGATTTGTATTATGTCCTCCAATAAAACATTGCTTTAGATTAAATGTGTGCGCAGAGCCCTATGTGTGTGTGTTTATAGTAAGTCATAAACATGGCTGTTCATTCGGGGCCTCACCTCAGGACTTTACAAAGACAGCAGGTCTGAAATGGGTTTCCATCTGTGACTCACTTTTTACCCCCCTCTCTCTTAAGTTCATTTAAAACATAAACAGACTAAAATTGTAACTTTACAGTTAGTATAGAGCTTTACAAACATAAATAGATAAAAAATAAGATATTTTTTCAGTATATATATATTTAAGTTTGTATATGAACTTCCACCTCTCTATACTTTAAGATCTTTTCTAAACATGTTTTACAGAATGTAAACTCGACAAAAAGAGAATGTAGATTTCTGGTCAATTTAAATTTATTTATAGTTTATCAAATCACAAATTATCAAATCATAAGAAATTTGATAATTCACAAAAAAAGAAGATTTTCAGGGCACTAAAGAGAGAAAGTAAACCTATTACCTATTTTCTTAATAAATACTGTTCAAATCAGTCCCATTAATTGTACTCCAGTGTATTCCAGTTCGAAATATGTAATTCCGCATAAATAAAACTCCCTTGCGATTGCGAGTGAGGCTATAGAGAACAACAGGAAAGACAATGTCTTATAGCTTCATAGTTTTCCTCAAGTTCACCACTGGCTCACACTTATCGTCACTCCAAAAAAATAAAATAAAATAAAACTATGCACATTAATGACAACAGTAACAACCACCTCAGACACATTTTCAGGTCTTCAATTCTTTTTTTTTCTCCTCATGTTTCTCTTCGCTTTTCTCTTTCTCCACAAAACTCTTACTTTCCTAATTTTCTTTTCGTGGCTCTCACCTTTCAATTACCCCTCCTTAGAGTCCTGTGCTGTAAGTTATAAAGTCATTGTGGTTGGTCTGTGTCAAGAAGTCCATTCAGCTCTCTACAATGCAGTGACCTTTTGCCCGCTGGTGTGAATGCTACCTGCAGCCTAATCAACTCGACAGGATTAGCTCCCAACTTGATGACTTCCCAGCACAAGCTCAGATGCCCGGGAAAAAGAGAGAAAGAGTATGAGGGAAGAAAACTAGAAGTCAGTGGAAAACAGAGCAGTCGCAAAAAATAAAACCATTCAGCTTTCTGTGTAAAGATGACAATGGACAAACCCGTAATGGCAAAAATGCCAGAGCAGAGCTCAACAAAAGACCAAGAGAATGAGAAAAGTAAAGGAGGAAACTAGGAGGAAAGAATCATTTAGGCCTCTTGATCAACATGTCACTCATATCACCTTACGAGACCCCCTTTCAATTCCATCACTGAAATGAAATTTAATTGTTTTTCAGACCTGTTTAGCAAGACAGTTGATATTGGAACAGTGCTCGGTCTAACCTCCCCCACTGTTGCGAAAGAAGGGGAGCATCTAGCAGTCTTTTATTAGATATGATGGCACATTTCACAGTTCCCTGACTTACAGATACCCAATCCTGCGATTAGTCAGCACTTTGACGTTATCTTAAGTTCCTTGTCAGAATTAATTTAGTGTGGGTGGCCTGCTGCAGTGTTGTCTGTCGACTGAGCTCCATTCCCCCTACGCTTGAGAAGGGAGGGTGGAGACAACGAAGGCTGGAAGATCCGTTTCAAATAAGCCCAAGTTCCAATCAGTGCCAAAGCAGCCACCTGAGAACTAAATATCTCCCTCCATCAAAGGCTCCTATTCTGTGAGGAGGAAAAGGACAGCACAAGCTTGAATGAACAAGTTGAAAATAAATCCTGTCTTGGCCAGCCTGTCGCCCACTTAGTGCCCTTAACCACGCAGTCCAGCCACTGATACCAGAGAACTGATACACTAACTTAAAGCACTGGTCACGCACAGCTAAACAAGATTAGCTCCTTACGGCAAGGACTCTAGATGGATGAGAAAAAAACCTTCAATCGCATTTTACCATGGCAAGATTTCAAACCATTTTTTTGTTTTTGTTTTACAGTTTCAAGTGTTGAATCATTACAGAGAATCAGAAGCACTGATGTTGCATGTTAATCAAGATTGGCAGGCAACTAGAGCCACTTGCCTTACCAATGTGAAACTGGACTCCTGTCTTTAGTCTCAGTATCTGTGCTGACACTTCATTAGAGGTCTTTTCCTGGTGGCCCACCACATCCGGCTCCACTCCTGCCACCCCTGCACTGTCCCACCTGATGAAAATTAATGGATTACAGCATTTCAATTTGTGGGCGCCAGCTCTGTTGTCAGCCTATCTTAATCTCTTTCAATTAGGGAGCAGTTCTCAGGCAAATCTCTTGACATCTGAGAACGGAGAACAGGCCGGCCGCTCTGACCCAAAAACAAGCTGAAGTTATCCATGGGTGCTTGTGAGTCCAGCTCCTCAATATCTCGGTTTGTCTTTCTTCTCCTCCACTTCCGTAATTTGTCTCAGACACTGATAAGTCGGTTGGGCAGCAAGCGAGTAAGCTGCAGACATTAGAATAGGTTTACATGTCCCAACAGCCCACCTTGGTTGAGGCATAAAAAAAAGCTTCTGAAGATTTTATTTACTGAGACGTGTCCCCACAAAAAAAAGTAGTCTGGGTGAAACTTCACTGCAGTCTGACAAAGATACTGACCAGTGGTTCCCCATGGCGAGAGGAGGATTGCCTTATTTTTAGACCCATTCTCCATTATCTGTATGCTTTGTTCTCATAATGGTTATCCCGCTCCCATCTGCAGGAACACAAAATAACCCTTTAATGCTTAGAAAGCAGAAAAATGGCCCGGCCTTCGGTAATAAGCCTTGAATTACCTACCCAAGGGTTTTCGTTTCAAGATGTGGAATCTTCAATTATTATGTTCCCATTTAGAAGGAGGAAGGAAAGAAAAAGAGAAAAGGGGAGGGAGATAGCAGAAAAGAGTGAAGAAGGGATGAGGCCCAGACACTAATGGTGCCAGAGTGAGGCTTTGTTCACTTGCTACATTTAGCCTGTCCTTCATCATCTGCCCTCAGCCTCACAACGGAACAAACAATAAAAGACCTGAAATATGGATTTCTTTTCTTTTTTCCTTCAGTGTTCTCATATCTCACTTTTTATCAATCTCTTCATGCTCGTAAGCTATCTGTATCTGCCATCAAACATATATCTATATGTCATATTTAGGGCGGTTAGAGAGCGTAATCCAAAATTAAGTTTTAGGAACTAAAAAACTGAACTACCAAAAAGGACTTCCTTTTTTTAATGCCGAACTTAACTTAAAAACATTGTAAGTTGGATACGTGTCTCTGTATCAATCTCATAGCAAATCATCTCAGTCATAAAACCATTTGAAGGTGCCAGACTTTAAACAGATTAATTCCCCAAAACAAGAGACAACAAGCCGCGAGGCACCAACCACATTTACTATCATATGATAAACCAGGCTTGCAGAATCAGACCACAAACCACAGAACAGTGGTTACTTTAAAAACCAGCCATAATATGAAACTGGTTGTATTTCCCCTCTCCCTTATGTGCTACTTATACTGTTCTGGCAGTCTGCCTAGGCCTAATATTGTCTTAATAATTTATACAATTTATGTTACATGTCACTTGTATTCCAAACTTTGTATTTAAACATGCAACCCAAATGCCTTTTTTTAAACACTATCACTAAACCTTGTGACGTGCTTAGGAAAACTATCAAAAAGAGAAAAGACAGTGATAGAGAAACACAGAATGCATGAACATACAAAAAGTTTTCTGTGTTTTTGCATCAGTTTGTTTGGATGTAAATTAATTTACGCAAGTAAAGAACATTTTGCCACCAGACAAATTAAATCATATTGCATTTTTTTCAGTAAACTTTAGTTTATTGTTTGTTTGTTTAGATTAATTTTTCATTTGACATTATCCATTTTGATAAATGCGACCCACCACATCAGGAATTAAGACAAATTTGGTCAAAATACACTATGCATGTTTTCATATTTCTGGCTTTTTAAGTTACATTTTGATACCAAGATCATCCTGATATCATGAGCGGCTCTAGAGATACGCCTCAATTTAGCTTGTTAATTGGGATGATCTCTGTGAAATCAACTGGAATCCTATTTTTAGTGTACTCATGACAGTTTCTTGACGTTATGTAAAATTGGAAACCTCAAACTATATTTAGATATTGCGATTTCCCAGCTGGTATTGAAAGTAGCTTTGCTAGCAGAAAAGTGATGTATTTTCTGCTCAAAAACATTGTTCGTTTGTCAAAATACTCCTTCAAAGTACTTGTAGTTACGGTTTTTATAATGTTTTTTGACAAAATCTAATATCTGCATGTTTTTCAACCAGTGTAAAGTAACTAATAAACAAAAACTTTTAAATAAATTTCATTCATTTACTTCAAATGTTTTAAAGTGGTACAATTTATTACACTATCTTACAGAAATTGATAAGCATTGAGTGAGAATTTCAGTAGGAATGCACGATATATCGGCATTAATATAGGTATCGGCCAATATTGGTCATTTTTTAGAATATCGTATCGGTCCGATATGTAAAACTGGGCCGATATTAACATCCGATATTGATTTTCCATTTTTTAGCTTTGTGTTTTTGTTTTGGGAGGGGAGACAGTTGGTTGAGCGTCATCTGTTTGATCATGATAGTGATATTGACGTTGCAAAGCCAAGAATAACTGAAGTAGGGAGCCATGTCAGAGGTCTGGTCATTTATATATGGTCTCAAAAAAAGACCCAGGTGTGTTCGTGTGTATATGTATAATATAATTTGTGTGTTTGTGTAATATCGGTAAATATCGGTTATCGGCCATAACAGCAATAATTATACTGGATATCGATATCGGCTGAAATTTTCATATTGGTGCATCCCTAAATTTCAGGTGCATCCTTTTCCTTCTTTCAGGCTGACCTGCTGGAATTTTGATTGAGTTTCTCCTCTGTGTCCTTAAGAAACTGTTCAAAGTCCAGATCACTGGAAACCCCCGGAACCAGAAGCTCCACGAAGGCATGGTCCTCCGGAAAATCCTCGGGCCATTCCATGTTGCCCTGCACAAGAGTGAGACAGTTAGAACCTGAGCGTTAAAAAGTATCTTCCATGTGCATCCGATTGTCAAAATAAATTATGTCAAAAAGATAATAATCACAGGTGCCAAGACTGAACTAACAAGGTACAGAAATCAATCATCTGCATGATCACAAGTGTTTTATTACAACTGTCTGTCAAGGAACACACACACTGTCAGCGATGCCATGTGGTCTAAGATCATGTAATATTTCCTCAAACAAGACTTTTATTAGAAGGCACAAATCAATTTATCTGAAGCACCTGAAACACAAGCCACTCCTCATCTACAAAAGCAGTTTTTTTCCAGTACACCCCCCGTTTTTTCCTCTGAAAATCATTTGTAGTAAGAAGCGCACTTCATCAGAATGCATTGGCTCAGTCTCAAACCATTTCTACATAACGACACTAGTTAACGTAGGGAGATATAAAGAAAATAACACAAGATTAATAAACAATAAGGTGAGATTCTCTTCAGAGAAGACTTTAAATAAACAACTCATCTTCTCGGGTCTCTACCAGAGCTGAGGTCCTCCCCTCCCACCCCGTGGTGCTTAACGCACACGCTAACAGCCAATCCCATGTCGGTGCCACGCTGCTGGGTCTCATATCAACATTGTCATCAGTGTGAGTCAAGTGGAAGGTAATGGAGAGTGTCTGTGTCAATTTGGCTTTCTCACACTCCGCCTCTCGCCCCTTCCTCATCATCAGCTCTGATTTTAATAATCCCTGTCAAACTCCGAACAGCTCCCTGCACGCAGCTCTGCTTCTTTCTCCGCAGCATACAGTCGACGCCAGTCTCCCTGACAGGGTAGACAGGAAGCTCAACATTCATTTAGCCTGCACAAAGGGAGGCCTGTCCAGCTGGACAAATATTATTTCCCTCCGCTGACAGCCTCACCAGTTAGGCTTGTTCTTTTATTATTTCTCCGTTTCTTCCTTACCCTCTTTCTGCTTACCCTCGTCATCATGCTCCCTTTGCACCACCGTCTGAGGAAGGGTCTAAATGCAGTCATCGCTTGAATGAGAAAAAAAAACTTTCAGTTCCTAGATTGGGAGTTAAACAGTCTAATAAAGTAAGCAGCTTGTGTCTAGTTTTGCCTTTTCATGTGTAGGTGGTGTCCAGAAGATCATTTTTGATTTTTAGGGGTTAAGGATCACACAAACAGATGGACAGGGAGTTTGAATGTTCACACTGTACGTCTGCTGGGTGTCTACCTTCTGGTCTGCCGACATAACTTAAGCATGAGCGTGTACATGTAAGTGCGTGTGGGTTAGGATTCGCCAGGAATCACACAGGGCCTCATTAGAGCAATACTTTAAATCATCCAGTCTCCATTGTCTTGTCATTGGCTCTTTAGAAAGCAGATGTTAGACGAGCCCCTGCGTGTTTCAAAGATCTGCAACAGGGACAACCGGGCCAGGCACTGAGACGCTGCCTGCCGAAGACATCAGCTGCACCACTATTAGAGCATGAGAAGAAACGCAGCCTCAGAGAAACACACACACACACACACACACACACACACACACACACACACACACACACACACACACAGCAGCCCTATCTCTCTTGCCGCTGCCTGTCTTCTACAGCTAGGCTAACACAGAGGCCCATTTACAGTAATGAGTTTGTCCTGAAATATTTAGCAGCATATCCCCCAGGCTGCAGCTTTAAAACCACTTAGAACATGTCAAGTTAAAGTCAACATTATTTTAAAGGGGGTACCTTAACAGCCCTGTTAAGGAAGCGTCATAAATTAAACAGGTGCATTTCCTAAGATCACAACAGTGCTGAAAACTATCTCACATGCACCCCAGGGGAGGGCATGGCTTCACCGTTACTGTACAACACAGTTGCCTGGCTTCATTATATTGCTTGGGACAGATTTACATCTTTAGAGCGATTCAGATGCAAGCTCTATGAATTAATCAGATCTATTTCACGTGATGCAATGATTCTGCTAAATGTTTTACAACACAGGTTCAGTTCAGCTGTTTTGAGCAAGTTTTTTTTTTCTTTACTACAAGGAAACCTGTTGACTGAATGCTGAGAGTGTAACCAAACTGTGTAACACCGTGTAAACCAGCAGGTGTGATTCATCTGCACTGAGCTAATGAATAATACAAATTAATCACAATAATACATGTTATTGATTTCTTTTGTAATCAGGGGCATTAAATCACTGAGTAATTAGTTATTTATAACCCATGACAGCAATAATGTCACACTGCAGCAAATCACATTATGGTATGGAAAATGTAAACTTTGAGTAAATGTAACATATCAAACATAGTTATAATCCAGAAGTACTTCCACATACTCATTTCATTCATGTTATTTATGCAAAAATGACAGTGAAGCAGCAAATATGTTCACATAAAATATAATAAAACTAAGAACAAAATGCAAATAAACTGTAAATTCATATGTAAAAATTACTTATTTCTTAACACCATGTGCAATATCTAATCTAATACAGTACCGGTATCTCCATGTGCTGTCACTTTTATTACTGAATGTAACATACATCTTAACTGATTGCATGTACCTCTGTAGGGTTTTACTTTTGTTACAAAGTTTTGTTCCTGTTTCTTGTTACTGTATTGTTGTTTTGTGTGTGTGTGTGTGTGTGTGTGTGTGTGTGTGTGTGTGTGTGTGTGTGTGTGTGT